TCCAGTTCACTGGGCGCGCATCCTACATAGGGTGATGCGACAGCACCCATACGAGGAGAAGGGGGGAACTCTCAATCACCTCTTCCCTTTCTTGATAAACTTCTATCGACAAAGGAACTGTCTGACTGCGGCGGAGCTCGCTCGCTTTCCGCCATTGTCCGTCGACCATCCCGGGAGGTATGTGCGGGATAACGAGGTCGACACTGACGCAGAGGATTCACCAGCTTCTACTCCACCGACTCAGCGGTACGAGGGAAGAAGCCCACCCGCAGCAAGAGTGCCGCGGAAGCGGAGATGGAGAGAAGAACCAGAGGAGGAGCAACATCGAGAACCAACTGCTCCCATACGGCAGCGGCCACTGCACGAAGTGTGCAGCCGGCCGAAGCAGAAGGGAGCAGCTTCCGGCCGCGCAGGCTTGTGTTACCAGCCAGCAGCGCGGACACGGCGACGATCGCCACGGAGAAGGGAAGTGCGTCACCGGAGAAGGACGGGAGTGCGCGGACGTCCGCAGGAGCGGTGGACCACGCTACACCTCTGGCGGACGAGAGGCGGCCTTCGAGCCAGGGGCCAGCGGGACAAGGCCCTCCGGAGTTACCACGTGCGATGCGGACGAGTGTTCCGCCTACGCATAGGCGACTCCCAGCGGATAGGCGACCTCTTGCAGACGTGGACCTCTGCCTACGCGTAGGCAGAGAAAGTTCGCCTACGCACAGGCGGCCGCCTACGAGTAGGCAGGATTCACCCCCGGTACAACGTAGGAAGGGGAAGGAGCCGGCGGAAGATCCGCCTTCGGGTCAAGGGCCTTCGGGGCAAGGCCCACCGGCGTGTAACGCGCCGCGATTTGCGCCTTCGGCGCTGGGGCCTTCGGGCCATCGAGTCATCAGCAGGGAGCGTGCGGAGACCGCACCTTCGGCGGGTAATCCGCCGGAAGATGCGCCTTCGGCGGTAGGGCCTTCGGGCCAAGGTACATCGGGCGAGCGGCCTTCGGCGATAGACGCCTTCGGCGCTGCGCCTGCGGCGGATAAGGCGCCGGGAATTGCGCCTACGCGCAGGCCAGACGCAGCCCTCGCGCAGGACCGATCGAGGGAGCAGGACCTAACAGAGGAGCAGATTGTACGTCCGCGGGACGAAATTCAAGTGCGCGATGCACAATTACACCCCGCGCAGACGCATTCCGCTCGATCGCCTTCGGCGGCGGACGTCGGCGGAGAAGGATTGACGATCGACGCAAGGCAGGCGGACGATTCACCCACCGCCTTGGACATTTTAGCGGGGAGCAGCAAAGCTGCAGGAGTGCCATCGGCGGCAGCACCCGCAGACCACTCGCAGTCCCACTCGGGCCAGTCGCCAACGCAATCAATGGCGACCGAGATCCTTCCTTCTGATGATGACGAAGGAGGATCCACGGAAGCAATGTCGGGATCGGGAGACACCGAGGAGGAGGAGGAAGAAATCGTTGGAGCGCCGACGGCGGCGCTCTGTGAGCAGGTAGTACCTCTGCTGAGGTACTTGGACCGCAAAATTGATAAAAACGCGGATCCTTGCCAGCCTTGGTCCTACGTCGAGTTAGTGCGCAGACGAACTCGCACTAAAGTCCACACCAGCAAGCTGCTAGCTCGGGTGGACCGGGAACTTAAGGAGTTGCGAGAGCAGTATGACTGCTTGTGGGGACAGTACAATCTCGTGCGGAAGTCGCACGCCTACAACGAGTTGAAGAAGGAGAGACTGGAGGAGCTCATCAAAGATGTGGTGAGGACCACAGAAGAACTGATTTCTGAGAAGACTTAGAATCAGGTTCTGTAAGAGGAGCTCGTGCGACAGACGCGGTTGTTGGCGGAGTGTCAGCTCGCGCGACAGGCGGATGAGGATTTGATCCGCAGGCTGCAGTCGGAGTGTGGAGAATTGAGAGTTCAGCGTGCAGAGGCCGAATCGCAGTTGGTAGTAATTGAAGACGATCGCAGGCGAGAAGCAGATCGCATGAAGGCGGAGATGGCGAGGCGAGTCGCCCATTGTCTCAAGGGCTACGCCCACTGGGAAGTGGCGGCGCAGGAGAAACTCACACTGCGTGAGTTAGAGCTTCGCGCAGCCGGGTTGTTGGCAAGTGACAGTCGGAGTCGGCGGCGGGTAGCGAAGAAGCTAGACTCTTTTCTGTCGAAGGCGCGGGATACCATGTCCACCCTTGAGTCGGAGGTGTCCGCGGCGTTGCAACGATTGGGACTGCGCAGTCGAGCGGAAGACTGGCAGGGTAGGGAGTTTGTGCGCGGCAGTCCGTCGCGCAGGAGGCGAAGCACAGGTTCCGCGTAGTGTAGTGTAGCGTGGTTCCGTGCCGGCGTGTAGCGTAGTGCAGTGTTGTGCTAGTTAGGACTTAGAAGTTATAAAGTAGTTCAAGGCGTCTTGCCTTGGGATTTTTCCCAGTTTCGGAAGTGCAGATCAGGAACTCATTTTCTCTGCGTGATTGTGTCTTTAATTCTGTCACCACGCAAGAGGAGCTACAACTTGGCGTTCCGCATTTTGTAGCTGAAGGCCTTCGGCCGAATGTTCAGAGCTAGTACATTGGTTAGAGACTTGAGTAGTTCGGATCTACACCTGCGGGTGATTGCCGATGCTCAGAGCCAGTGACGAGTTAGATACTTGAATAGTTTCGCCCCTACACCTTCGAGTGTTTGTTCCTGATTGTACTCCTTCGGGATCTTTCCCCTCAATGCCAAAATGAAGTTTTGCTACTTCGTGCAAGCCTTGGTTGTAAATTCAGGTTACGCTGCAGCAGGTGCCTTTGGGGTAACCCCTGTAGTATTTCTGGGAATGACAAGTGCCTAAGAATTCAAACTCTTCAATAGAGTGTCATTGTGTTACTGGAATGTTTCTCAGTGAGTCCTTCAGTGCGGACCTGTGTTCTCTGCGCGTTTTGTGAGTTGAGAGTGTTGTTCACCGCGTATGAGTGACTTCGATCCGAAGTAGGCAGTCCAAACCGGGTTTCCTACGCTAGCAGCAAGCTAGTGGAAAGGGTTGTAAAAGCCGGAGTTGGGAGTCACTACCCGCAGCTTCGCTGAGTACTCGCGAGAGACTTTTCCCCCTGAAATCTTGAGTAGAGGTCCTAACGGATCTCTGGGTTGTGTTTCTGTAGTTTCAGGTGTGTGTGTGTGTGTGTGTGTTACGCTGCACTGTGCGACCTCCGAGTGCGCTCCGAGTGGACACTTGCAGTATTTCTGGGAGTGACAGTCGCCTGAGAATTCAAACTCCTCAATAGTCTGTTAAAACGTGACACTTTGTACCCTGTGTGTTCCTCTGTCTCTATGGGTTCGACCTTTCTACCACTATATTACAGTTTTAGCCTTTAGTGGGTTATTACAGTGACAAGAGTACCTGCTAGAGTTGTAGCCTAGGCAGTTGTAGGAGTTAATCACGTGAAGATTGATCCAAACAGGTTACGGAGTGCCGTACCAATTTTTTGTACAAGGTGGCATAGCAACCAATGAGAGAGTTGTCTCCTTCTAGTGTGACTATAGAGAAAGATTGTGAGCCATTGATTGATCCCAAGATCATAAGAGGGCAAAGACGACGGTTGACAGAATTTGTACTTGTTTGTATGAATTGTTTTGACTTTAACATGAATGAATTAGGTGCTTTGATTTAACCAGGTATACGGATAGAATTGGCTAGTGATACGCCAATTTTTTGAAGTCCCCATTGATATAGTGATATGAAAATGGACTTGATTCAGAGTAGGCAGTTGGACCTACTGGAGGCAGGGTTAGTTGTTGCATGATGAGTATGCATTAGCCATTGTCATGCTGGTTAAGAAGGATGTACATGACAACTTCACGGATAGACGAATGTGTGGAGACTACCGTCTTATCAATCGGCAGACAAAGTCCGAGAAGTATGCCATGCCTACATTTGAGGAGAATTTTGATGAGGTGGGACATGCGAAGATTTTCAGTACTTTGGATCTTCAGACAGTTGTTGATTCGAGAGGTGGACTAGGCCAAGACAGCATTTTGGGACGTCAACTCTTATAGCATTGATTGTTTGTATCAATGACAATTTTTACCCTTTGGATTGAAGAATGCACTTGCCGAGTTTCAGAGTATTATATGATCCTAACGGGATTGTATTTTTTCAAGTGTTACAGTGATGATATCTTGATGTTTAGCGACACCATGTAGGAACACCAAATACATTTGCAGATTGATATTGAACTGTTGAAGTCTCATGATGTGCCGTTACATCCGAGAAAGTGTAAGTTCTTCTAGGAGAACCTTGAATACTTGGGTCATGATACATGGAGAGTTTAGCAAGCAAATGTGAAGGCTATTGCATGCATCTCTTGTCAGACGGATGTGAGTAGAGTTCGTGTATTCATGGATTTGACGCACTACTACCGGAAGTATGTGAATGTATTTATTGCTATAGCCAAACCCTTGAACTAGTTGTTGAAGTTGGATCAAGAGTGGCAACGGGGAGACAAACATGAGAAAGCTTTTGTTGAGCTCAAGGCTAGGTTGGTGACCTCTCCCATCTTGAAGAGATCCATTAGAGTTCGTGCATATCAGTTGCACATTGATTGGAGTACGTTCAAACTTGGAGCGGTGTTGACGCAGCGTGATGATGAGGCCAAAGAGTTTGTGATTGCGTATACTAGTAGTTCGAACAATGCAATGAAGTAGATGTATAGTTCAAACGAGGAAAAGTGTCTAGCAGCATTGTGGATTATGGCACACTTCAAGTATTATTTGTTTGGCACACATTTTACCCTTGTCACTGATCACTAGCCACTCAAGAGGTTGATGGAGTCCGACAAGCTCACTGGGAAGCTTGCACAGTGTACTCTAATCTTACAGGAGTATAATTTTTGAGTGGAGTTGCGAATCTGGGTGCCGATGGTTTGAGTCAAAATCCATGCACTAGCCATAAGGTCAACACTGGAGCTAGATGGCATGGTGAAGTGGATGAGGAGATGGTGATTTCTTGGCATGCATTGGACTTCCTGTGTTTGTTACGTGGAGACTCTCGTAGGGAGGACCACTTGACATCTTACTCTATTTAAAGAGTGGATGAACAATGTTTAGATCTTGAGAATAAAGATGGCGCTATAGATCAGCGTGATATTCACGATGATACAATAATATTGGAGTTTTTCAGACCAATATGGTGCCATACACAGTGAGAGCCGAGGAGCAAGACCATCTTCTCTAGTGGACGAAGAGATACTGATAGTGTAACATGCTCATGAAGAGTTGGGACATTTTGGAGTGAAACCTACATAGAGCTTACTCCTTGGTCAATATTGGTGAGGTGGTATGCATCCCCAGAAACACCCGCTAGTATCACTTAACATGATTTGTGATAAGTGAGAGCATTGTTAAATGACTCGACACCAAAGTTATAACCCTTGTCTATTACGGGATTGGGTTACAAGTGCAAGAGCAAATCAGATTGACATTTCTTATGGATCATGGGCCATTTTCGGCCACCCGGCTCGTACCCGCAACCACTTCCCTCCTCCCACCACATCGTGTAAATATGAGGTTGACTCATGCAGGTTTCATGCACTCTGAAGGCTGGCTTCCCTACTACCTGGGCAAAGTGTTCCAGGATGAATGGCCGTAAGGATACATAGACACACTCGTCGAGGCAATGGAGTTGATGGATTCACTCTCTTTGTCGTATGACACGCCAATGTCTTCCAGAATTGTGATCTTGTCTTCGTCATCGCTGTATTCAGTCTCTGTGACTTGTTCGAGTTGCAGAACTTGTTTTAGAACGCGCACAATCTCCCCCATATCTGGCCTTTGCCCGCTAGTTGGAAGCTGACATGACACAGCCAATTCAGCAACTTTGATCATACCCTCCTTATGGTAATGATTTCCTAGAGTAGGATCGACAACGGTTTCAATCTCATGGGCTTTCACTGCATTTCGCACCTGTCATATAAACGCCCAGCTTAGACTCTCAAAGGTGATGATCTCAGTGTATTTAATGCAGTCAGAAATAATTAAAATCTAAACATTTGTAAAAGACATTTGCTTGATACAAGTTTTTATGCCTGTTCATACACATCCTGTACATGTGTGAGCTGGTTCGAATTGAAAAGTGAAATCAAAGTAAAATATACAGTGCATTTGAAATTGATGCGTTGGTGTATAAGAACCATAAGCATTGTGCTTGAAAATTCAGTGAACTTCAGCTCCACTCAGTAAGAAAATACGGTTACAACTACAAACAGTTTCAAGAGCAAGATCGGATAAAAATCTCGTAGGGTCTCGTTCCATTTCTTACCCACTCTACCAAGGTTGTTGCTTCACTGTCCGGAAATTTGTAGCTTTGAGGTTTTCTGCCGGTGATAATCTCCAAAAGAACCATTCCAAAACTGAAGACATCACTCTTTGTGGTCAATTTTCTTCGAACATAATACCTGCATTCGGTCATTGCCACGAATAAATATAATGTGAGGTGACACTTGAAAAACATTGAGGATTACAGCAACTGCATATGTCGATGTGATGTAATAAAACACAAAGCAACCAGGGTGCATTTCGTACTCAGGATCCAGATAGCCGAAGGTCCCCTTGATCATTGTAATTATTCCTGTATTTACATGTTGTTTATCTACATCCAGCTCGGGGGCTTGTCTGGAGATTCCCAGGTCTGCAAGCTTTGCTTGGAGTTCATCAGTCAGCAAAATGTTCTCACTTTTCACATCCCTATGTATGACTGGAGGCTTGCAGTCTTTGTGCAGATACTCAAGGCCTGCACAACAATAATTTCGTCGTAAGAGACGGGGCTAAACTCCACTGAAATCCACTTCTTTGTCACCTGATTGCAGCTCTGGGTTTACTCAATCAAGAAACATAATGCTAGATGGATGATTTTCTTTTCTGCTAACTCACCTCTTGCAGCATTCATCACAATATCTACACGCTTTTTCCAGCTCAACAGCTCATGTTTTGCACCACCGAGCTTCTTTGATAAAGCGCTTTTCTTTGTAGAGCTGGCACCTGAAACACATTAGTCGAACTTATCAAGATTCTTGAGCTCTGGAATTTGAATTCAGTGCCAGATGTGTTTTTTTATAATTAATAACAGATCCTCTTCCCGATGTTCGTCTTGTCTTGTTTGTGTTTTTTGTCATGGCTTTTCCATTTATGTGTCGGGGATAGAGCTAAAGCGGATACTGTTAGGAAAAATAAAAGAAAAAAAGACTCTTGCGACTGAAGTTCATCAACAACTGAAGACAGACTGTGCTTGATGCAACAAACCTTTGGGATACAGATGGTCGTGCAATGTGCCTTTTGGCATGTAGACGTAGATCAGTATCTGTTGTTGTGCTTCTAAGCAGTAACCAACGAGACATACGAGATTGCGGTGGTGCAATCTTGACAGCAGTCGGACCTGTGGAATCATGAACAAAGAGATTATTTCCCTGGTGTATATATGAACCCCTTCTCACCAAGGAAATGGATGGCTCTGTGATTCTTAGCGTCTGCTCATAATCTCGTTTAGCCGCGTCTAATGCAACGCTCCTAGAAAATCGTCGATACTGTCCAAGATTTGTGAAAGGTTGAGGACATACCTCGTTTAGAAATTCATCCGCTCCTTGGGTTGAATTAGAAGCCCTGACTTTCACTGCTACCTCCTTGCCATCAGGTAGCTTCCCATAATAAACATCTCCGAACCCTCCCTTGCCTATCGAGGTCTTAAAATTGGAAGTGATTGTTTTGACCTCCTTATATGTGAAACTTTGAGCTGACTTAGGCATGTCCTCTGTTTTCAGATGTAATAATGTATGATCAGGACAAAAGAATATACTTCACGACAGAACACCTGCCCTTTCAGCTTGTTGAGATCCAAAAGCTATTTACAAGAAGATTCATCGATGCAGTTGTTAGCTATGAGTACATACCAGGTTTAACCTGTTGTTCAAGATTTGGCTTGCTCTTTCTCCTCCTAACATAAAAAAACGCTGCGAGTCCAAGACCGATTCCGATGATGACAACTGCTGCAACTCCAGCGATTATTCCAATAGGGGCACCAGATTTTGATTTCAGCGGTTCCTGCTGCTCGTCCACCGTGATACTGATGTTTGGGTTGTTGCTAAATCTGAAAAAGAGACTCAGAATATGTCCCAACTCTCTTTGACAAGAAGATTTGCAAGTCATGCACAAAGCATTGGAGTTAAAGAGAGGCCATGAGCTGTAAGAGACAGACTTACGAGATGTTCAAGCCTCGCGTTTTTCTGTCTAACAGAGATTGAGGTATTTCTGTAAACTTGTTGTTGTCCAGCAACCTAGAAAAGTAAAGTCACTCAATTGTCACGTAATCACATATTCCAACCGGGCAGGTGGCGGACTTGGACGAACTTAAAGTAATTTGGAAAATTCAGTCTAACATTAATGGTTTCCATTAGAAATGATGGATATTGTTTGACATACAATAGATGTATGGAAGCAACTTCGTGGATAAATCTGTTTGGAAGTTCACGGATTCATCAAAGTGCTGCAGATTCTAGTCTATCTATTGCATAGCAACTTACAGAGTCTTGAGATTTGGTAGTTCAGCAAGCGACTGAGGTACTGTGCCATTGAACTGATTATTTCTGAGATCCCTGGCAAAAATTTAATTCAAACATGTCAGATCGCTTATCACAGTCGCGATCTGCTATCAATGATAAATTCAACTCCTCCGAGAGTATCCAATCCTCAGTTAACTAGATGAGCTGCAGCAACATTCAGCCTTCTTGACTTTAGATATGAACCCAGACTCGTCCACTTACAGAATCAGCAAAGCCTTCAACTTTCCGAAGTAAGATGGAATTGGTCCCGTAAGATTATTATTATTCAAGTATCTGCAATTCAGAGAAACAATGATTGTCACAAAAACTCAAATATAACGGCATCGTATCATAACGGTGACACTAATTAGTGAATATACATTTGAAGTAAGATGGAATTGGTCCCGTAAGATTAATATTAAAGGATCTGCAATTCAGAGAAACAATGATTGTCACAAACACTCAAATATAACAGCATCGGATCATAACGGTGACACGAATTAGTGACTATACATTTGAAGTAAGATGGAATTGGTCCCGTAAGATTAAGAAGAAGATTAAGAAGTAAGATCCCGTTTTTTTCTCAGAATCGCGAAGCAATAAGTTTTTGAAGCAGTACTCATGGTGCTGAATATAAGCTTCAGTTGATTAGAAAGAAACGCTTTTTCTTTTGTAACTGACTCAGTATATAAAGCCGAACTTTTTAAAGCATAAGTGCTTACATCTCTTTCAAGTAGATAAGCTGTTCCCAGGACTCTGGAATTCCTCCTGAGAAGAAATTGTTGCTGAAGGTTCTGATGACGTGAAAGAAAACATATTAGTAACATAAATGGCGGAGAACATGCATGAGCCTCACATAGAATGTGTTTCTGCAAATCTAGTCTATCACAAACTTGAGTTTCCTTAGATAAGAACTTACAATAATTCGAGACGATTTTCGCTATCGGGTTGACTATTACCAGCAGGAAGGTCAGGCAATATTCCAGAGATAAGATTATTTGCCAAATTCCTGTTATGAAGCAACCGAGATTGTGTGAGCTTCACTGTCGGCTGATTCGATTCGAAAGTGCAATATATCGAATTTGAAATGCTGACTGAGATCGCTCAGCTGACTGGTAGACACAGCAGGAAATTTGAGAATAATAACTACGGAAACCTGATAAATTCGAGTTTCCACTTACATTGTTTTAAGACGTTCTAATAGGGTCAATTTAACTGGCACAGTTGTCAACTGGTTGTTTCGAACATTCCTGTCACCACAAGAAAGGAACTTGAGGACTGGTGGACGACAACATGAAAAATCAATCATATAGTTCTAGATAGATGTGTGTGTTTCATGACGTACATCCATCCATTTTTCAGGCTTGAATGGCTCGAATACGAATTCTGTCTTGCTATATTTGTACACTAGCAGCTTATTGTGAATAACCAAGAATGGAAGGAACTCTAGGCAGGGCTGGCGGCAGGAAAAAAATATTTTTAACTCACCATCGCATATCATCGCATCCTTCAATATTGAACATAGACCATGCAGTTTAAGTATGTGGACAGTAAGCATTACTGTGTTGAACTTACTTCCTAGTATGCACTATTTCCACTTTAGACACTCAGAGGAGAGACTCATCCAATAACACACTCATAGGTGAGATATGAACATTTACACATTCCGAAGAAATCCGTGTTGAAACAAAGCCGGAGGAATGGGTCCAGCGAAGTTGTTATTCTGCAAATGCCTGAAGATGGAGTCATTCAAATGGTCACGATATTAGTAATGAGGAACTAAGGACACCCATCCGGCGTACAATAGATCTATTTGTTGGGTGTATAGCACTTACTTTATTACATTGTAGGCAATTCTTCTCGGTTTACCGACAATGCATGAAATTTGACTAGAGTGATTCACAATTCCAAACTGTTATCAATACATCGTTGAGTTCTCACTTCTTCAAGCTCATGGCATTTGAGGCTCTTCAGATGCATGGGTGTTTTATCTGCTGTAATAAACTACAAACCGTCATCGATACTTACAACACGTCAAGTCCACCCGACCTCTTCAGATCCGGAATTTGGCCACCTAAAGCACAAAAGCTTACATTACTGCACAAAACAATTTCAGCCAGAGGAAATCCATGAGTTATCGAGACCCACCGGCAGTGAGCTTACTGCTAGTCATCCACGGTGCGATTGACTAATGTAACACTGCGTGAATGTGGTTGAGTAGAGTACTTACAAGGTCACAATGCTGGAGGCTTCCGTTAGGTCTGGTAGAGGTCCAATTAATTTGGGGTTGTTTGACATTTCTCTGCATGAGGCGGCCAAGCACGAGATTACGAATCTTGAGTCAGCACTTGGATTCCAGTGTGAAAACCGAGTAGAAAATTAGAACGAAAGTCGCTTACCATCCAATTCATCTAAGTTCGAGATTGAATTCTGGAAGTTTATTTTATAGAGGTTTTTCTCGGTAGAGACCCTTCCAAGTGGCAGATTGAAGAAAATTCTTTCGAAACATATCCTGATGCCTGGTTAAAGATGCATCACATCAAGGATTGTTGACGTACATGGTGATAATGGACTTCAGATTCGTGAACTCACTCGGAATGGTACCTGTCAAGTTTGTATTTGTCAATAACCTGCCATCAGAATAGATCTCAAGATGTCAGTAACAATGAACAGTACTGTCATCTCAGAAAGTGTGACCTCACGAATCGAGTCACGGATCGAGCGAGCCAGCGATGGATGCTCAAAGTTGGCCAATGAAAAGAAAAGTAAAGGGGTACATTCAGAGGCCTGCTTACAACGACTCCACGTTGTTATAGGCTCCGGAACACTCAATCCAATTGACATCAGAGCATGGATCTCCCGCTGTCCAGTTTGCCAGGTTGAATTTATCGCGCAGAGCCTCAATGGCGGTTACTGAAAATTGAAGCGCAGTATTAGATTGCATAGAGCTCTCGCTTCCTTTTTTTCTCAGAACAATCACATTGGCACATTCAGTGAATTGAACAATTGTATGTCTATACGGAAGAAGCTTGGAGGGGCTGCGAACTGAATTTGCATAAGACACATGTGATGGTATGAAAGGAAAGACACTGAAATTGTGTTGATGAGATCACGGAGTATATGAAGGATTCTAAGGAAGGAGATGGTTTTGTACTCTCGTCAGGAGGTAATGCGGCGTTAGCTTTTCGTATCAGCCTGAGGTCCACCGAGCAGAACAATATGAAATACACAACCAGACGATCCATGAATCTCATATTTGGCTGGTGCTGCCGCGGCCTCAGTGTCTGTGTCCTTGAGGTGGACATCAGAACTTCTCTCTGATGAGAAGCCTCCAAATCTGTACATAATCTGCAAGGCTCGAGATGACTGCATACGCCTTAGGCGTAATTCGAAATTACACGTGCCATATTCAATTCTCAGATGTCCCCGAGGTGCTACTACTGAGATATCGTCGCTGCTAAAAGATGCGCTAGCCTGAGCTTTAGCGATGAAGCAAAATTCGAAACAAGCAACTGCTGAGGCGCCAGCTCAATAAGACCTACGATTCCAAATATTGAATAAATCAAACCGCTCAAATCGATCTCTCTGGACTCTGCGCACTGGAGGGCCGGGCCCAGTCGCTTGCGATGGCGGCTTGCCCGCCTTGTACAGAACAACTGTAATTTGAAGTTGTGCAATGATGACTTGTTCCTTGTGCCCTTCAACTGTCGAGATCACACCAGCAGCAGCGTTTTAGCATTTGGAAGTAAGTTGGGGATCTCGGTGGGGCAAAATTAGGATAAAGGGCTCCAAGTGGACAGCCATCAAGACGAGTGGGGCAATAGTCCCGAACATGATTGTCAACGATCACATCGTCCACGAAGTCTTGAACCTCCTTAGATATTCTGACATCTGTAAAGCCGTCAGAAGGGCGCTTGTCCAGTGGGCTCGACTTGAGAACGAACGACCTGTACGGCATCAGGAGTCTGAGAGGGTCAACGGTCAGCGAGGGACTGTGCTGACACTGTTCTGCGGCGGGCTGTTCTCACTATCGAGAAGTGGCTCTTGTGGAGCCAGCCTTCTGATAACCAGGTCCTCCCTGAGAGGACAGGCGACATTTCCTGTTTTCTCCGAGCCATATCTGCTCAACGAGTCGTAGGTGTTGCAGTCGGCGTGCTCTCCTCGTTCCTCATGATATATCATCCATCTTCTTCAATCCATTTTACTGTTTTACTTGGTTCCTTTTTCATTTGGCGTGGTTTTAACCTTGGCTTCACAAACGGCGGATGCAGATCCATGGCATGAAGACTTATACCCTCTTACATGATGTGTCAACACTTGTTAATTTTGATGTGCACCAGCAAATAACACGCTTAGATAAATCCGTTAAATTGACATTTTTTCGCATTGATCTTTTTTGAAAATATAATGAACAATATTTGGAACGGAAGGTTAAAATTCGAGAACCTATAGTCTTTGAAACTCTTAATGTGTATTTGGGTTGAACCTGATCTCTCTTTCATATTCTGGTTATGAGTAGAAAACCTTTGTGTATGTTTGAAGATTAGACAAGATAGATTCAGAACTCAATGTGGAATTCTGGGATGAAAACCATGAATTTTAAGAGTTTCAAACATGTTGAGAGAATTCCAACTTCTTGAGAACAGCTAATGCATGTTAAACCACATGTTGAGCTAATTATAACATCAACTTATCATTTTATTCAACACTCTTTCGCAATTTCGACACGCAATAGCTGCAAAATTTCAAACTTGAAATCCATTATGGCTGACAAACGTGCATATTTAACCATTTCGTCTCATCTAACCGTGGAGTCAGCTACTTGCATGTAGAGTTAGAGGCACAACAAAATATCTCGGGGCATGCCCATGCCCCCTTTTAAGATTAAAAGGCATGCCCGTATAACAATATGTACATTTTACCGTTTCATAAAATATACTTCTATGTAAATAAAGTACTAGAGCAGAATCTCCAAATGAAAACAGTTTTATTTTCTCACTTATCCCACAGTCTATTTTTCTACAATATACATCTGTAACTCTAGAGTATATGTATAATAAATTTAATACGTAATGCCGGTATGTATAAATTTTTTTATACATACAGGCATGCCTCGTATGGAAAATGCGAATGAGGCATGCCCGTGGGCATGCCCCCGTGCCCTCGCCCCGGGGCATGCACTTGGAGGTTGTGCCTCCAACTCTACTTGCATGGTTAGATGGTAAACGATTATTCATTCTAATTTTCCTCTAGGTATTCACATCTGATTCCAAGTGCTGACTCGAGATTCATATCCTCGTGCTTATCTGGCTCATGCAGAGAATCGTCAAACAACCACTAATTAAGTTAAGTGGACCAGTAGTAAAGCTAACAGAATCTACTATAATTGTGACCTTGTCAGCACTCTCCGCAGCCACATTCATGCCTTTTTGCCTTAATCAAACACCCATGGATGACTAGCAGAAACTCACTACCGATAGGTGTGGATTGCTCATGGATTTCCTTTGACTGAAAATGCCGTGTGCAGTAATGTAAACTTTTGTGAAGAAGTGGCCAAATTCCGGATCTGGAGACGTAGGCTGGATTTGACGTGTGTAAGTATCGATGACGGTTTTTGGTCTATACAGCAGACAACAGAGGCATCCTTCTGAAGCGCCTCAAATACCATGGACGTGACAAACTGACAGTTCATCTTTGTTTTGATAAGTGTTTCGAATTGTACATCACTCTTGAATTTCGTGTAGTCAGTAAGTGTAGAAAGCCTTCCTAAAACGTCTCACGTTGAAGTAAACTTTGTACGGACAAAAGGAAGTATTTCAGGACGGATGTATGTTCTCAAAATTCTCATTACTAATCTCGCAATCATTCCAATGACTCCTTTTTGAGACATTTGCAGATTGACGACTTCGAAGTTCAGCGTAGTGGTGCTCACTGTCGATAGACTATCATTCCATTCCAGTATTCCACTTTGATTTCCCGTGATGCATGATATCGTATCCCATGGTGATTTCAAAACGTTTGCTTCCTGCCGACAGACTTGCCATGAGTTCATTTTCTTTGTGATTCATGATAAACTGCTAGCTTGCAAAACTAGAAAGCTTGAAAAAGGGATGGATCTAAGTCATGAAACACAGACTTTTATCAAGATATTTCTTCAATGATTTCAAGATTTATCAGATATTTCTATTTTGCTATCCACCTGTCTTGAAGTTCCTTTCTTGCAATTGTGTTGTGGTGACGGGAATTTTCGTAACAATCGTTTGACAACAATGCCAACTGACTGGGGACTGCTGATTACTCGAAAATCAATGTAAGTGAAGCCATATTTATCAGTATTTCGTTGTCATCGTTGTCAAATCTCCTATTGTGTCAACCAGTCAGCTGAGCGATCTCCCTCGATACACATTCGATATATAGCAGTAGCGAATCTAATCAGCCGATAGTTTTGAAGCTAACACAATCTCGGTTGTACTATTTACAGGAACCTCCAAATCTGATTTCTGGAAGATTACGTCACGTCTGGAAGATTGAATCACCAACATCAGTGATCTTGTGCATTCAAGATGCAAGATTATAAAACGAGTGACAATATTGATATTCACAGCCACGTAAATGTGATCATTTTTACCACTTCATCTTTAAACGATTTTTTGCATTGAACTTGCATTGTACGTACTGTAAGTATTTCTTCTCACAAAATCGAAAACAGATTTTACTAGACTCAGGATGAACTTGACCACTGGAATGAATTTCATGTACAAAGTGGGCTGAACATAACCTTCAAACATAACGTGAACTTCTACAACTCAGAACGACAGACGATCCTCACTCAATGAGAATCTCCGAGCGGAGCAGATCAGAATCTATTACAAACCAGAAGAAGTAATTTGACTTGAACACTTGTAAAGTCGCTGATAGCCAACAGCACGTCCAAGATGTCCTCCTCAGTATACGACTTCGAGTTGGATATTTCCTTCAGGCGGTTCTCAATCCATAATGTGGGATCATTTTTCGCCTGCCATTTTCAGCCTTTTAATTTGTGACCTCAGATCTAGCGTCTTCAAAAAAGGGAAGACATCTTCTATAAAGAACCATTATGAACTCGTTACTTCGATCATTATTTGAATAAAGTCCTGATTATGAGCACCTGCACCCCTTCGAGACAACTTTGCGGTCGTTGTGGACATAAACAGTTCGTGCATTATATCGATAAAATTGATATAACGATTTGCATGACCTCCTCAAACGCTATCCATATCATTTCAAGAGCACATCTTGTCTCAAATCCTGCACAAGTCCGTAAAAAAAGTTAGCAGTGCGAAAAAGTGACGACATGCTGCACCCGCTACACAGAAAGAATCGTAATGAACACGAGAGAATTACTAGCACGTCATAGTAAGAGATAAGATAGGTGACGTTATTCTTCGAATCTCAAATGCAAACGGAATCTTGCAGTGTGTAATTATGTGCAGAACAAGCAAGGCAAAGAAGCTCAATATCATGAGCTTATGATTGACACATCTTAGAAACTTTGCCATGATTATTTTACATGAAAATTCTGGTAATTTGGTATTCTAATTTCACCTATGCCTATGTACGGTTCGTCGTCCATTGGATCATGCTTGCAAATGCATGAGAGAATACTGCATAAATCAATCCCATCTAACTCAAGTGAGCTTTGGTATACCCTTTAGTTGTAGATTAGAAGAAGCATATCCTGGAGATACATTAAAAAAATACAGTCATTACCGTGGTTGCCACACCGTCAAATCCGTGCTTTACATTATAACAGGCCTAGTTTCCGGTCTGCTTGGCCTGACTTGCAAGATCTACGCTTGGGGTCTTGCACACTACACTGTTAACGTTGTGGTGCCCTTAGTTGGTACGGCCCGGACACCTCCTACGCCCAGAACCGAAGGGCAGAACCTCATAATGCTGCCCTTTCACATCTATAGGGCTGTTTAAGAATCTTGAAGGATTAAACTTCAGAGGATTTTCCCAAACCTTAGGATCTCTACCAATGGCATATAGGTTCAAAATCACTCGGGTGTTGGCGGGGATATCGTATCCTGCTAGTTTTGTTGCTTCCTTAGGGAAGTGAGGAACTCCCAATACAGCGACTGGGTGCAGCCGTAGTGTCTCCTTCACTACTGCCTGCACATATTCGAGTTTCTGGAGATCAGCTTCTTCAACCAGCCTCTCTTTACCGATCACATCGTCGAGCTCACTCTGTAGTCTTTCCATAATGTTGGGATGCCTCAGAAGCTCAGTCATAGCCCACACAACCGTTTCAGAGTTGGTATCAGTTCCACCAATAATGACGTCCTGATTGAAGATTCACTAACATCAGTAAGCTTGTGCATTGAAGATGCAAGATGATAAAACCACTGATTATATTGATATTCACAGGCACGTTAATCTGAGTATCTTCACCACTTTCATCTTTACATTCTTTTTGCATGGAACTTTCATTACCGAAAATATTTCTAACTAGAATCATGATGAACTTGACCATGTGGATAAATTTCAACAAGAAAGTGGGCTGAATAAAATAACCCACTAAAGGCTAAAACTGCAATATAGTGGTAGAAAGGTCGAACCCACAGGGACAGAGGAACACACAGGGTACAACGTGTCACATTTAACAGACTATTGAGGAGTTTGAATTCTCAGGCGACTGTCACTCCCAGAAATACTGCAAGTGTTCACTCGGAGCTCACTCGGAGGT